CATAGCAGCCTAGTTGCACTTAACAACCCAACTAGGTAACCTGTATAATCCCCAATATTGTAAGCACTTTTCTGGAATTGACTAAACTTGAAATCACATGAAATGTGACTAATAAGTCACATTCTAGCAGCTCAATAACTATCAACCTGATTTTAGATCTACCTGCTATCATTCTTAACAGCCCAACCTCTTATCTTGCTATTCATTTGATGGGTTCATACTCTAAAAAGCTATAACATAACAGGCCAGGTGTAGTGGCTCACAGTTGAAATCCTAGCACTCTGGAGGCCGAGGTAGGAGGATTGCTTGAGGTCAGGCATTTTGAGATTGCTGTGAGCTAGGCTGACACATGGCACTCTAGCCTGGGCAACAAAGCAAGACTCTGTCAATTAATCAATAAACTAACTAACTATAATAACTTGATGTGGGGGGGAGGGGAAAGGGCATTTTTTGAAACCTTAAAATTTGTACCCCATAATATGCCGACAATAAAATAAATAAATAATAATTCTGACACTTAGCAGAGCTTCTAAAAGTTCACTTCATGCCAGTTTCCTTGACCAAGATTTTGAATAGTTTGAAGAGTTATTAGGACCACAGAGAAAGGAACCCAGAGAAATTAGCTAGTATTAAAATCATGGTATCTAATGTTAATTGGTATAGAGAAAATCACTTTTCTATCAATAATGTTTCCATGAACAGATTTAGTCAAATGGAAGAAAGTCTAAAATAAGCCTATCCATAACAACCTTTAAATAAAACAGTTTCATTACATACTTTTTCAAATTTTGCAGTATATCTGGATACTTATGGCAATATTACATGATATTTAAACTAGGAAACACGTATCCAATCTTATTTTGGAGGCTTAAATAGAACTTCAAGGAACTATCTGGCAGACATTTGGCATCCTAGAATGGGCATTAGGAAGGTACCTGGGTTAGGATTTAAGAAGTATCCTTTGTCTTCAAGGCAAATTTTAAGAAATTTTTGTAGATTATAAGAGTTAGACCTACTTTTTAATATATTCTTGTTGGTAGATAATAATTCCAAAATCTTTTCCACATAGCTAATGAGAAAGCCAGTCCATTAGGATGCCAACCAACTGATTACAAATTGGTGCTTTTACTAGTTTCTGGTTATTGTGTTTATTGATTAAATAATTTTTTGAACTTTAAGTTTTCCTCTAATTTCAGATGAAAGAATATCTAACCCTAATAACAGGGCATTTAAAAAGGCTTCAGGTAGTCTCTCTGAACCCATTCTGGTCGAGGCTACCTTACCAACAAAAGAGAAAAGAACAGTCTTCAGGATATAGTAAACATTTGTTCCCTTTCTGGGGGAGTCAGTTGAGATTCTGAACGGAGCAAAACTATTAAAAGGAGGGTGAGGCCGGGCGTGGTGGCTCACGCCTGTAATCCTAGCACTCTGGGAGGCCAAGGCAGGTGGATTGCTTGAGCTCAGGAGTTTGAGACCTGCCTGAGCAAGAGTGAGACATCATCTCTACTAAAAATAGAAACAAATTAGCCAAACAACTAAAAATAGAAAAATTTAGCCGGTCATGGTAGTGCATGCCTATAGTCCCAGCTACTGGGGAGGCTGAGGCAGGAGGATCATTGGACCCAAGAGTTTGAGGTTGCTGTGAGCGAGGCTGACGCCACGGCACTCTAGCAGAGTGAGACTCTGTCTCAAAACAAAACAAAAGATAATAACAATAGGGTGAAATAAAAAGGAAGTTTACCACACAAAATGTTTTCCTCTAAAGGAAAGGTAGGAGGATTATTCCATTTTCATGGAAAGTAAAGCAGTTTGAGTGGTCCTATTCCACCTTGTAGTTCTGTTACCTAGAACATGCAGTCTGTAAAGTTGGTGCAGCACAGGAAGATAGGGTCAGAGGATCTCACAGAATATCTTTAATGGCCAGACTTGGAAGACATTTATACCTCTTGTACTCCTATCCTTCTGGCCAGAACCCAGTCACTTGTCCATATCTGATTACAAGCAGGGACACTCAGAGAAATACATGATTACTGGTAATTCTCTGCGACACAGATTATTTTACTTCAGAGGAAACACATATACCTAATAAACATGAAAAGATGCTCAGCCTTCTTAATACTGAGGGAAATGAAAATTGAGGCCATAGAAGATATCAATTTTTACCCATCAAATTAGCTAAAGTGATATTTCTAGCATATTCAAGTATTAGCAAGGATATGTGGGAACTCGTACACAGGTGGTAAGGCATATAAATAGATATAACCATTTTGGAAAATAATTACATTATTTTATAAAATTGAATTGTTCTATAGTCATGATTCAGCAATTCTCTCCAAGCATATAACTTAGAGAAACTATTACAAACCAGGAGATATGTACAAGAATATATAAAACATGTATAAACAAAGATCATAATTTTTTTTTTTTTTTTGAGACAGAGTCTCACTCTGTTGCCTAGGCTAGAGTGCCATGGTGTCAGCCTAGCTCACAGCAACCTCAAACTCCTGGGCTCAAGCAATCCTACTGCCTCAGCCTCCCGAGTAGCTGGGACTACAAGCATGCGCCACCATGCCCGGCTAATTTTTTCTATATATATTAGTTGGCCAATTAATTTCTTTCTATTTTAGTAGAGATGGGGTCTCACTCTTGCTCAGGCTGGTTTTGAACTCCTGACCTTGAGTGATCCTCCTGCATCAGCCTCCCAGAGTGCTAGGATTACAGACATGAGCCACTGTGTGGGCTTTAATTTACATTTAAATAGCAAATCTTTGATATTGATTGTCTTAATTTTGTGGTTTTTAGGAACTCATTATTAAATGTCATTAATACTTGACCAGAAATTTTTCTCTAGTGACCTCCTTCCTGTTGGAACTCACAAGGACATGACTTCAGTCTTCTCAAATGATTTCTTTTTTTTTTAATAAATAAATTTTACCTTTTTTTATTTTTTTAGACCCAACTCTTCTATCCTAGATCCTCAAATGATTTCATAGCAGCCTAGTTGCCACTTAACAACCCAACTAGGTAACCTGATATAATCCCCAATATTGTAAGCACTTTTCTGGAAATTGACTAGACTTGAAATCCACTGAAATGTGACTAATAATGTCACATTCTAGCAGCTCAATAACTATCAACCTGATTTTAGATCTACCTGCTATCATTCTTAACAGCCCAACCTCTTATCTTGCTATTCGTTGATGGGTTCATACTCTAAAAAGCTATAACATAACAGGCCAGGTGTAGTGGCTCACAGTTGGAAATCCTAGCACTCTGGGAGGCCGAGGTAGGAGGATTGCTTGAGGTCAGGCATTTGAGATTGCTGTGAGCTAGGCTGACACCATGGCACTCTAGCCTGGGCAACAAAGCAAGACTCTGTCAATTAATCAATAAACTAACTAACTATAATAACTTGATTTGGGGGGAGGGGGGAAAGGGCATTTTTTGAAACCTTAAAATTTGTACCCCCATAATATGCCGAAATAAAAATAAATAAATAAATAACTTGACACTTAGCAGAGCTTCTAAAAGTTCACTTCATGCCAGTTTCCTTGACCAAGATTTTGAATAGTTGAAGAGTATATTAGGACCACAGAGAAAGGAACCCAGAGAACATTAGCTAGTATTAAAATCATGGTATCTCCAAGGAATACATGCAGAAAAAAAATAAAAATAAAAAAAATAAAATCATGGTATCTAATGTTAATTGGTATAGAGAATAATCACTTTTCTATCAATAATTGTTCCACATGAACAGATTTTAGTCAATATGGAAGAAAGTCTAAAATAAGCCTATCCATACAACCTTTAAATAAAAACAGGTTTCATTACATACTTTTCAAATTTTGCAGTATATCTGGATACTTATGGCAATATTACATGATATTTAAACTAGGACAACGTATCCAACTCTTATTTTGGAGGCTTAAAATAGAACTTCAAGGAACTATCTGGGCAGACATTTGGCATCCTAGGAATTGGGCATTAGGAAGGTAGCCTGGGTTAGGATTTAAGAAGTATCCTTTGTCTTCAAGGCAAATTTTAAGAAATTTTTGTAGCTTATAAGAGTTAGACATACTTTTTAAATATATTCTTGTTGGTAGATAATAATTCCAAATCTTTTCCCACATAGCTAATGAGAAAGCCAAGTCCCATTCAGGATGCCAACCAACTGATTACAAATTGGTGCTTTTACCTAGTATTCTGGTCTATTGCTGTTTATTGATTAAATAATTTTTTTTGAACTTTAATGTTTTCTCTAATTTCAGATGCTAAAGAATATCTAACCCTAATAACAAGGGCATTTAGAAAAGGCTTCAGGTAGTCTCTCTGAACCCATTCTGGTTCGAGGGGCTACCCTTAACAAAAAAAAGAGAAAAGAACAGTCTTCAGGATATAGTAAACATTTGTTCCCTTTCTCTTTATTAGCATTTTTGGTATTTTTTAATAGCTGTTTAGCACTTAATAAAGTATTGTGCTGAGTGTTGTACATGCAATCTGATTTGATCTTCATAAATACCTATATATAAAATAGTCTTGGTTAAGTAATTTGTCTTAGGTTACACATAACTGGCAGAATCAAGGCAAACCCATAGGCTTAATATTACATATAGTTCTCTCACAGGGGGAAGATATTGGTTCATTCAGAAAATAATTTTGTGTGGCTAGCACTATGTTGGTTATAGAAATAAATAAGACAGTGTGCTCTCTCAGATCATGTTCTTAATACCCACTCGGTCAACATTGACAGTTTTCTCTCTTACTTGGAGACAAAGGGCAAACTTAGTGTTCTTATAAGTTTTAATTTTTATCACATGAACAATATATTAACAAAATCAGGTAGTATTGAACAGAAATAAAAATTATGTACAAATGTATTATGCTAAATACTTTTCATTTTGTATAATCTGTTCCCAAATGTTGCATAATTATTTTATATAGTTGTTAATAAAGGCATACATTTTAAAGTAACGTTACAATTTTCTCCTCTTTTCTTACAGATGGCGGGTACCATTGATATGACTCTTCAAAGCGACATTATGACAATGTTTGAAAACAATTTTGATTAAAACTCAGTTTTTAAATTATCCATCAATTTAAAATGAATGATAAAAGATTAAAATGCACATGGTAAAATGATTGCTTTCAGATACAAATCTTATATTGCATTTTGACTGCTCTAAAATGATTAAACAATTTTCACTTACATTTTTTAATAGCTATATGTTCTTTTTTAATGATATAATTCACAGGAAATTTTATAATTTTGGATCCCTAAAATTTTAATAAATTCCAGATGTTATTCATTCTATAAATAATTGTCTATGTTATAGGCCCTGTTCTAAGCAATGAAAATCCAAAAGAGATAGCCTCTGCTTGTTTTAAAATGAAGACATGGTTTTCTAATTCAATAAGTGAAAAATAATGAAGAACATATAAAAGTGTATTAAAAACATAGTTCCTGTTGAGTTTTTAAATTTTAAAACAAATATTTGTCTGTGTTCAAAAATATTTAGAGCTTCTAACAAATAACTGGTTTCATTGAATGTCAGATTACATAAGATTCTCTGATGGTTCTATATCCAAAATTTACATTGAAATTTAGTTTAAAGAAATATTACCTATGGTTTGAAAGATGTTGAATTTCAGGCCAAATAACTAAATATTCAATATTTTAGTAAAACTTAATAGTAAATATTATGTAAGTAAGTTTCTATAGGAACTTATGAGACATTTCTTAATATGCATGTGTGATAGCAATGAATGTTTAGATATTTTACTTAACAGACTTTTATTTAAATATTCTGTAAAATATTTCTGTTTTATCATTTTCAGGTTGCATTTATGTATAAATCATGTGTATCAGCTTTATGTATTTTATAATTTTGAACTCTAAAAGTGTAACAATGATTCAGGCAATATTCTGATACCATCTAAAGTTAAAATTCAAAACATATGTGTATTATATAGAGAAAGAGAAAAAAAAATTTCTTGACTTCTTTATTTTTATAATTTATGTGAGAAATTTTGAAATATCTTTAAACTATCAGGCATTTTAAAAACATAATTAACTAGTGGTTAAAATAGTTGTATTGCCTTCATGACACAGCCAGAATTAAAGTGATAGTTATTCCTATCCAACTTTATTTTTAACTAAGAAATCTGTATGTATATACTAAACAGTATGTATTATGTTATTGTCCTAAAAGTTTATATATATAATTTTATGTACATAATATAAAAGATTATAGAGACCTATATTATGGTTACCGTGTTTAACCAACTTTATGATTAACCTATTCTTAGTCTGTAAGGGGCCTGGCACATGATAGATACTTAAACTTTTAGTAGGTTAGTTGAAGTCAGTTTGGTAAAGAAAAATATTGGTTTATAATTGATCCTTCCTGTATTGTACACTATTTTTTAGTAAAAGATTGTTTGGCTTCTCTTACTGCATACAGCTGTCTTCAACTAAAGCCTGATTTTGTGAGAACCCCTCTTCTGGTCCCATTTCTCACCCCTCTCCAATTTATAAAACCTTTTGTGTTTTCTGGGATTCACAGTAAGTCAGCAACAACATACCATACAGTAAACCTTTTTGCTTGTTTCTTTCCTCTTTTTGTTCTGAAAGTACAACTCAGACCAGCTGCATCAGCATTATCTAGAAACTTTTCTTAGAAATACAAATTCTCAGACTTAACACTTAATAAATCAGAAACGCTGGCCATGGGGGCCAGCAGTCTATAGTTGAACAAACCTTCCAGGTGATTCTCATACACACTGAAGTTTGAGACCTGCTGCTCTTACAGAGTCCTGCAGCCTCCCATTTAGCTCTTGTTTTCCTCATGGTCTTTTTTCTCCCCTCCCCTCCTCTCCTCTTCCTTTTCTTTCCTTCCTTTCTTAACTTTTCTTTCTCTTTTCTTCTCTTTCTTTCCCTTCCTTCCTTTCTTCCTTTCTTTCTTATAATGTGCTATGGTAACAAGGTAAGCACATCTCATATAGGAGTGTGAAAACCCAGTCATCACCCTTATGAACTAAAAAAGGATCACCTTGTGGTTTTTCTTACCTTTGTAGTGCCACTTGCAGACCATTCTCTCCTTCCCTCTCCCCTAAAAAACCCCACCTTTAAATTTTTCATGATCATCAGACTATACCACCCATAGTCATTTACCATCCCTGGTTCACTCCTTGTCCCCAAAGAGTTTAGTCTCTATTTACTATTACTCTCCAATTGACACGTCTCAGTCCTTTGACCTCTCTGCTAATGATCTTGATGAGCAGGATTAGCCTCAGCCATTTATTCCTTTCCCATTACTAATAACTGAACCCCTTCCTTAGTCTCAATTTCATGCATCCTATTTTCTCACTACTTTTCCTTTTTCTGGCTTACTCCCTATAGGCCCTTGACTTCAATTCTTAGACTTCACCAGAATTTAACAATCCGTTAACCCTAGAGCTTTTCACAGTACCTCTCCCCTACTGCCCTCCCTTATCTGCTCATCCTAAATTTGTAATACATTATAATAATTACTGCCTTGCATACTCTCTCAACTCCATTCATTTTCTCCTTTATTATATTTATTTGGCAAAACTTAAATCCTTATTAAATCTCACTGCTTATTCTGCACTGAATTCTGATGAAGCTGAATAACCAGTTTCATTTTAAATTTTTGAGCATCAACTCAAATGAGCCTTAATGCTGCCCAGAAATGTTTCCATGGTCTGTTCACTCTCCCTAGGCCGTCAACTATTTTATATTTCCATTCTACTCAGATCTCCAACCAATACCACCTCCCCCATCATCAGTCTCTGTTACCTTTTTCTTGCCGCTTTTTCACTGAGCAGGGAACCAATCTGAGGAGACCTTCCACAAATTTGCAGTACCACAACTACAAGTATCACTGTTCATATGCTCTGCTCGCCCCTCCATTACTAAGGATGAATTGTTCATGCTTTCAGTTAAGGTGAATCTCGTATGGTTTTTTTCTACATCTTCCCAGGGACGTTGCTCCAGCAGTTCTGATTTCCACAATCAATGTTCCCTCCTGTAGATAATTATCATCATACAAACTGTTTTTTCTGGAATATCAATTCAGTCAGAAGAAAACAGGCTTTTTTCTTTAAGTTGCCTCCTCATATCCTTGCCCTATTCTTTTTTATCTTTGTAGTAATTTTTTTTTTTTTTTTTTTAAAGAGAGATGGGGTCTGTCTTTGTCAACCAGGCTGGAGTGCAGTGACACAATCATAGCTCACTGCAGCCTCAAACTGCTGGGCTCAAGCAATCCCCCTGCCTCAGCCTCCCAGATAGCTGGTACTACAGGCATATACCATCCCCACCCTTGTTTTTCATTTTTCTTAGTGACATGGTCTTGCTATGTTGCCCAGGCTGGTCTTGAAGTGGACTGACGCTATCTTCCCACCTCAGTCTCCCGAGTAGCTGGGATTATAGGCATGAGCCTTAGTAATTTTTTAAAAAATGAAGACAACACTTACCCTTTAAATTTATCAATTTGTACAAAATTGTGTAGAAACCAACACTTGAAACCAATTTGCCAGTTCAAAAATCATGTTGCAAATCATTTATATATGAATATATCCAATTATGAATTTCATAATTTTTTAAATTACAAAGCTTTTAGATATGATTTAAAGATAAAATTTAGAGATATTAAGACAGTTTCTGCCTTCCACCCCAAATATTGAGAGATGAAAGCTTGTATATTCTGGCTTTATGCTCATCTAAACATACACATGTAGAGGATTTGAGGGACTTGTTTTTTACAAAAATATGGTTATCTATATATGTTACTTGGCAACTGATTTTTTTTTAATGCATTAAGCTCATTAAATGGATATATACTAATTCATTCTTTTTAAGTCTGTACAGCTTTTAGTAGCATAGGTATAATTTATATCAATAATCCCGTTTCTTTAGTTACTTACAGCCTTTTCCCATGATGAACAATGAAGTAATAGCCTGTTTATATAGCCTTAAATAAGTATTCTATTTCTAAAGGGTAGAGCTCTTACAATGGGATTACTGGGTCAGAAGATATAAAGAGAGTAGTTTTAATTTTAATTGATAGTGCCAGGTAACTGTTCCAAAAAACTTTAGAGCAGTTCACATTTCTGTAAGTTTGAAAATACCACCTTCTCATTGTCCTCACCAGCCCTGGATGTTCTTGTCCTCATTTTTTTTGTTAATATAAATGAAAAAATTACAATTTGTTTCTTTAGTTTATATTTCCCAGACTACAAGTGGAATTGGTTATTTGTTTGCCATGTGAGTTGCCTGGTCATTCATTTTGGGTATCGTGGTATTTTTTGTTTTTTAATCAATTTGTGCTCTGTTTTTCTTTTTCTTCTTCCTCTTTATTTATTTATTTGGTTCATTTTTAGATGTTGGATCTTTGTTTTGGAATTTTTTTTATAATTTATTGTCTTTTTTTCCATTAAAATTTTAAATTTTATGTGGTCATTCTTTTCTTTCATGCTGTCTGGATATTCTGTCTTGTTTAGATGTGTGTCCCTACATTGAGATGATAAAATATTCTTATATTTTTTACACTTACAAGTCTAGATATAATTAATTTTTACACAAAATTCCAGATGTATTAAAAATATTTTTCTATATGATATGAGCTAGGGGTCTAGCTTTCTTTTCTTTCAAATGAATTGTCAGTTATGCTACCACAAGTTGCTTATTAAACCTCTGAATTGCATAACTGTCACACTGTAAGAAATGTATAACATTTTATCTAATTTGTAAAAGTTGTATGAACCTAAACACCATTAGGATTTTGATGGAGATGGGAATTAAAACTTAGAGACCTACCAGCTTTATTTCCAGCTTTACAAATATATCCTGTATGGAACCCATTTTCTGAGATACTGCCAGTCTCAAAAGAAGCAGGGGAGTTCCAGCCCCAAATTAGTTGGGAGCAGAGCAATAAACAAGTGGGATGGTGGGGCTTCTTTGAGGTCAGTTGCTTGGCTCCATGTTAGCATGCTGATTGTACCATGGGCCAATGGTGGTGAGGTGAGAAAGTTAAAGGAAAGTCTTCAAGAGACCAAAGATCCCACCCAGGCTGACCATAGCAGAAGCCAGATCACCACAAATTAAGAGCAGGAAATGAGCCCATGATCAAATCTAAATGCCATTAAAAAGCAAGCCACAACGAATGAAAGCAAAAACAATAAATATAGACCCACTACCTCTCACCCCATTCTATCTAGGACTTTAGAAAAGAAAGTGTTGAAATAGACTCAATTTTTTAAAATCTCAACCCATGGGTTAAAAGAATTAGACACAGGTGAAGAGAAAATTAGTGAGCTAGAAGATATATCCAAATAAAGATATCAGGATACAGCACAGAGAGACATAAAGGAAAATGCAAAAGAGATGTTAAGAGATTTAGGGTAGGGGTTGGCAAACTGGCCTACAGGTCAAATCAGGCTTTGTGCCTATTTGAACACAGCCACATCTTTTTATTTACATAATGTCTATGGCTGCTTTTGTGTTGTAATGACAGAGTTCAGTAGTTGCAACAGGACTGTGTGGCCCTCAAAACCTAAAATATTTACTATCTAACCTCTTACTGAGAAAGTGTCAGAAAACTTGCCAACCTTTAATCTACAATAGAGTGAAAAGATCTAACATACATCTAATCAGACTCCTTAGAACCAACCATGAGAACAAACAGAGTCATTATTTGAGGAGACAATAACTGATTTTCTTAAAATTAAGAAAAATGAATCCTTTTATCTCAAACAAAAAGATGTCCATACCTAAGACATTTTTCCATGTCCTGCACAACACCATAAGCAAGTAGCCAGGGAAAAGGAGCTATAGAGGAGCTTATTTTTATTTCTTTCTTTTCTTTTTTTTTTTTGAGACAGAGTCTCACTCTGTTGCCTGGGCTAGAGTGCCATGGGGTCAGCCTAGCTCACAGCAACCTCAAACTCCTGGGCTCAAGCAATCCTCCTGCCTCAGCCTCCCCAGGACCTGGGACTACAGGCATGCACTACCATGCCCGGCTAATTTTTTCTATTTTTAGTTGTTTGGCTATTTTTAGTAGAGACAGGATCTCGCTCTTGCTCAGGCAGGTCTCAAACTCCGGAGCTCAAGCAATCCACCCGCCTTGGCCTCCCAGAGTGCTAGGATTACAGGCGTGAGCCACCACACCCGGCCTCTTTCAACAAATATAAGAATGAGTTATCCGCAACAATAAACACCAGAAACAGTGGAATTAAATCTTAAAGGTTTTGAGAGAAAAATTGTCAGCTAGAAATATGGATAAATTCTGGGGGGCTGTGTTTTTTTCTAATATTAAATACGTGTTAATCTTGCAATTTATTTTCTCTTTACGCATCTATATATGGCTTTTCTCTGCAGCACAGTTTCTCTTGACAATGTCCCTTAGGTTACAACTAGTTATCAGCTACTGAATGTATCTTAATCAGGGCTGCTTCTGGTTTTTTATTAACAAAGTTTATACATATGTTAGCATATAGTGTTTTATTTGTATCCTATTTATGTCTGAAATATTTGTCACAGGAGAGTGTCTGCTGATGGATTCTAAGTTTGTGTAGTTTAAAAGTTTTTTTGAGCGAGAGAAGGAAAAACTATATGCATTTCATTGCTGACTGTGCAGGTTCCTTTCAGATTACATCATAGGTCTGTGTGTATACCATATGAAGAATGATCTGAAGTAACTGTGCTGTTTTTGTGTTTGTCCACCACTCTTTGATTAAATAAAAAGGAAAACTGGAGGGGGGGGAGTCAGTTGAGATTCTGAACGGAGCAAAACTATTAAAAGGAGGGTGAGGCCGGGCGGTGGGCTCACGCCTGTAATCCTAGCACTCTGGGAGGCAAGGCAGGTGGATTGCTTGAGCTCAGGAGTTTGAGACTGCCTGAGCAAGAGTGAGACATCATCTCTACTAAAATAGAAAGAAATTGCCAAACAACTAAAAATAGAAAAATTTAGCCGGTCATAGTAGTGCATGCCTATAGTCCCAGCTACTGGGGAGGCTGAGGCAGGAGATCATTGGACCAGAGTTTGAGGTTGCTGTGAGCGAGGCTGACGCCACGGCACTCTAGCAGAGTGAGACTCTGTCTCAAAACAAAACAAAAGATAATAACAATAGGGTGAAATAAAAAGGAAGTTTACCACACAAAATGTTTTCCTCTAAAGGAAAGGTAGGAGGATTATTCCATTTTCATGGAAAGTAAAGCAGTTTGAGTGGTCCTATTCCACCTTGTAGTTCTGTTACCTAGAACATGCAGTCTGTAAAGTTGGTGCAGCACAGGAAGATAGGGTCAGAGGATCTCACAGAATATCTTTAATGGCCAGACTTGGAAGACATTTATACCTCTTGTACTCCTATCCTTCTGGCCAGAACCAGTCACTTGTCCATATCTGATTACAAGCAGGGACACTCAGAGAAAATACTGATTACTGGTAATTCTCTGCGACACAGATTATTTTACTTCAGAGGAAACACATATACCTAATAAACATGAAAAGATGCTCAGCCTTCTTAATACTGAGGGAAATGAAAATTGAGGCCATAGAAGATATCAATTTTTACCCATCAAATTAGCTAAAGTGATATCTCTAGCATATTCAAGTATTAGCAAGGATATGTGGGAACTCGTACACAGGTGGTAAGGCATATAAATAGATATAACCATTTTGGAAAATAATTACATTATTTTATAAAATTGAATTGTTCTATAGTCATGATTCAGCAATTCTCTCCAAGCATATAACTTAGAGAAACTATTACAAACCAGGAGATATGTACAAGAATATATAAAACATGTATAAACAAAGATCATAATTTTTTTTTTTTTTTTTGAGACAGAGTCTCACTCTGTTGCCTAGGCTAGAGTGCCATGGCGTCAGCCTAGCTCACAGCAACCTCCAACTCCTGGGCTCAGGTGATCCTCCTGCCTCAGCCTCCTGAGTAGCTGGGACTACAGGCATGTGCCATCATGCCTGGCTAATTTTTTTTTCTTCCTATATATTTTTAGTTGGCCAATTAATTTCTTTCTATTTTTAGTAGAGACGGGGTGTCACTCTTGCTCAAGCTGGTTTCGAACTCCTGACCTTGAGCAATCTTCCTGCCTGGGCCTCCCAGAGTGCTAGGATTACAGGCGTGAGCCACCGTGCCTGGCCAGATCATAATTAATAAAGAAGGAGAGAAAGAAGAAAAGGAGAAAGGAAGGAAAGAACAAACCAACCCAAATGCTGTTGATAGGAAAATGAATAAACTCTGGCATAATTTCCCTAATTATGCTAATGAATATTAGCATAAATAAACCATAATTATATGCAATAATATAGAATGACATATAATGTTGAGCTTTCCTGCATTTTTGTGAATGCAGTTTCAATTTATAATTGGCTAATGCTAGGATATGGAAAACCTATTGACTTTTGTATACTTACCTTGTATCTAGACATCTTACCAAATTTTCTTATTAAGGAAAGTGTTTTGAAGTTTATAGAAATACAATAATCTGCAAACATGTATTTCTGCCTCTAATTTTTATATTAATTTTTATGTTCTTTTTGGTTTATTAGCTTGAATTTTCAAGAATAATGTTAAATAATAGAACTAATAGCAATCTTTCTTTCTTATTCAGAGTTTTAAAGTAAATGGCTAAAGCCTATTTTACCATAGGCTACTGTTTTTTGGTAACTGTAGTGTTTAAGCAGTTTCTTTCTGCCTGAATTAATTTAGCTTTAAAGGAATAGCTGCTAAATTTTAACACATTCCTTTTTTGGCATCTGTTGATATAATTACATGGGTTTTCTTCTACAAATGTTGATGTGTTACATTTATAGATTTTCTGATGTTGGGCCATTCTTACTTTCCTAGAATAAAAACTCCATAGTTATATTGTATTATTTATATGATACACTGCTAGATTCAATTTCTAGTAATTTATTTATAGTTATTGAAACAATTTTCATACGTACAATTGGTATATGCTATAATTTTTGTATCATCTTTGTCAGATTTTGGTATTAGTATCCATAAACTTAGGAACTTATTTGGTCTGAATGAATTTAACAGGAATTATCTCTTATTTAAAAGTAGATAGGACATTAGCAACCAACATATCTAATTGGCATATGTAGAACACTCCATTCAAAAACATAATAATATACTTTTTTTTTTTCAAACACCCATGGAATCTTCACCCAGACAGGCCATATCCTGGGTCATAAAACAAACTTAAAAGAAATCATTAGAAAATAAGGGGATTAAATAAATTATTGGAATTTTTTTAAATGAGAAAAAAAGAATAGAAATCATATAGAATATGTTCTTTGATCATAATAGAATCAAATACAAGTTAATAATAGAAAGACAACAGGAAAATCTCTAAACACATAATTAACTTATAAACAGTGTGGTAAAGAGGAAGACTTATAGGAAATTTTAGAAAGTATATAGAAATGAATGACAATGAAAACACAACATATAAACACAAATATAATGCAGTTAAAAAGTACTAAAAGAAATTTATAAGTGCTAAATGCTTACATTAGAAACAGGGAATGGTCTCAAATCCATAAGTCTCTAACTTAAGGAAGAGCAAAATACAGTTGACCCTTGAACTTGGGTTTAACCTGTGCAGGTCCATTCTTCTGCCCTTGCCACCCCTAAGACAGCAAGACTAACCCCTCCTCTTCTTCCTCCTCAGCCTACTCATCGTGAACACAAGGAGGATGAAGTTTTGGAGGAGTCAAAAACTAGATAAGGATTTTTGACAGTGAGAGGGATGAGCACTCATAACCCCCACACTGTCCAAGGACCAACTGTATAACTGTCACACATTGCTGAAATAAACTGAAAATTGAGGGTGGGCATGGTGGTTCACACCTGTATCCTAGCTCTGTGGGAGGCCAAGGCAGGAGGATTGCTTGACCTCAGGAGTTCAAGACCAGCCTGAGCAAGACCACTCTGCACATGATAGGTTCTTATACAAACATATACAGAAAAATTGTACAGCCACTCTGGAAACCAGTGTGACAGTTTCTCAGAAAGTTAAATGCACACTTACCACCTGACCCAGCAAGCCACTTCCAGATATTTATCCAAGTGAAATAAAAACATATCTTCACTGACAGCCCTCTTGCTAGATTGACAAGAAGAAGAAAGGAAAGGACTCTAATAAGCTCAATTAGAAATGAAAAAGGGGAGGTCACAACAGACATCACAGAAATACAAAACACCATCTTTAAATACTATGAAAATCTCTATGCTCCCAAACTTCAAAACATGAAGAAAATAGACAAATTCTTAGAAACACACAACTTCCCTAGACCTAATCAGGAAGAAATAGAATTCCTGAACAGACCCATATCAAGCACAGAAATTGAAGCAGCAATAAAAAATCTTACAATAAACAAAAGTCCTGGACCAGATGGGTTCACACCTGAATTTTACCAAATCTACAAAGAATTGATACCTAGACTGCTGAAATTATTCCACAACATTGAGAAGGATGTAATCTTCCCCAACTCATTCTACAAAGCCAATATCACCTTAATACCAAAGCCAGGAAAGGACACAACAGAAAAAGAAAACTACAGCCCAATATCCCTTATGAATATAGATGCAAAAATTAAAATCTTAGCAAGCCAAATTCAACAGTACATCAAAAAAAATAATTCATCATGACCAGGTAGACTTTATCCCAGAGATGCAAGGATGGTTCAACATACACAAATCTATAAATGTAATATATGATATCAATAAAAGTAAGAACAAAAACCATATAATTCTCTCAATAGATGCAGAAAAAGCATTTGACAAAATTCACACTTTTATGATAAAAACTCTTAACCAAATAGGCATAAATGGGTCATACCTAAAAAGTATTAAAGCCATATATGATAAACCCATAGCCAATATGATACTGAATGGGAAAAATTGAAAGCATTCCCACATAGAACTGGAACCAGACAAGGTTGCCCACTATCTCCACCTCTATTCAACATAGTGTTGGAAGTCCTTGCCAGAGCAATCAGCAAGAGTAGGGAATCAAGGGTGACCAAATGGGGGCAGAAGAGCTCAAACTCTCACCCTTTGCTGATGATATGATATTATATCTAGAAAACCCCAAGGATTCAACCAAGAGGCTCCTGGAATTGATAAATGAATTCAATAAAGTCTCAGGATACAAAATCAATGCACATAAATCAATGGCATTTATATACATTAGTAACAGTCAAGCTGAAAAGCAAAGACTCAACACATTTCACAATAGCATCAAAGAAAAATATTTAGAAATATATTTCGCTAAGGAGGTGAGAGACCTATATAGGAAGAACCATGAAACACTCAGAAAAGAAATTGTAGAGGATTTAAACAGATAGAAAACTCTACCATGCTCATGGATTGGCAGAATCAATATTGTTAAAATGTCCATACTACCTAAAGTGACCTATAGAATCAATGCAATTCCTATGAAAATACCATCATCATTTTTTGCAGATCCAGAAAAAATAATTCTATGCTCCATATGGAATCAGAGAAGACCTTGTGTAGCCAAAGCAATATTAAGCAAAAACAAATTGGGAGGCATCGGTCTACCAGACTTTAAGCTTTAATACAAGGCTACAGTAACCAAAACAGCATGGTACTGGCACAAGAACAGAGATATAGACCTTTGGAACATGACTGACAACCCAGATATAAAACCATTTTCATACTGTAATCTTTGAAAAAGCAGACAAAAATATACACTGGGGAAAAGAATCTCTATTCAATAAATGGTGCTAGGAAAATTGGATAACCACATGCAGAAGATTGAAACTGGATCTGCACTTTCACTTCTCACAAAAATCAGCTCACGATGGATAACAGACTTAAACCTAAGATGTGAAACCTTAGGAATTCTAGAAGGAAATGTTGGGAAAACTCTTATATATATCACCTAAGCAAAGAATATATGAAGAAGACCCCCAAAGCAATCATAGCAACAACAAAAATAAATAAATGAGACCCAATCAAATTTAAAAGGTTCTGCACAGCCAAGGAAACTATCATTAGAGCGAATAGACAATCTACAGAATGGGAGAAAATATTTGCATGCTACACATCTGATAAAGGGCTAATAACAATCTATATAGAATTTGTGAAACTTAACAAGAAAAATCAAACAACCCCATTAAAAAGCAGGCAAAGGACATGAACAGAAACTTTGCAAAAGAAGACAGAGTAATGGCCAGCAAACATATAAAAAAGTACTCAACATCTCATCATCAGGGAAATGCAAATCAAAACCACAATGAGACATCACCTAACTCCAGTGAGAACAGCTTTTATCAAAAAAATCCCAAAACAACAAATGCTGGTGTGGATGCAGAGAGATAGGAACACTCACACTGTTGGTGGAAGTGCAAATTAGTACAACCTCTGTGGAAAGTAATTTGGAGATATCTCAAAGAAATTAAAATAGAAATACCATTTGATCAAGCAATCCCACTACTAAGCAACTACCCCAAAGAAAAAAAGTACATTTTACAATAAAGACATCTGCACTTGAATGTTTATAGTAGCACAATTCAAATTGCAAAGATGTGGAAAAAACCTAAGTGCCCATCAATACATGAGTGGATTAATAAAATGTGATATATGTATACCATATATCACACTACTCAACTATAAAAAACAATGGTGAACTAGCTAGCACCTCTTATATTATCCTGGGTGGAGCTAGAGACCATCCTTTGAAGTATCACAACAATGAAAAAACAAGCACCACCTGTACTCACCATCAAATTGGTACTAATTGTTCAACACTCAGGTGCTCACATGGAAGTAATATTCATTGGGTTCTGGGCAGGTGGGAGAGGGTGGTGGGGATGGGTAAACTCATAACTAATGGGTGCCGAGTGCACTGTATGGGGGACGGGCACACTTGTAGCTCTGAGTTTGGCAATGCAAAGGCATTATATGTAACCAAAATGTTTGTACCCCGATAATATTCTGAAATTAAAAAAAAGAAAAGAAATAAATTGGAAAAAAACATATGTTCACATACAAAAAACTTTATGTGAATGTTTATAGTATAGATTTATAGTATAGAATGTTGTGGTTTGTAACAGCCAAAAACTGGGAAAAAAATTTAAATGTCCCTTAACTGGGGAACTGATAAACAATGTTGGTATATCCATTCAATGAAATAGTAATTAGCAATAAAAAAAAAAAAGAAACAATACATGCAACAGCATAGCTGAATCTCAAATAGGTTATCCTAAGTCAAAGAAGCCCAAAACGGTTACATTCCATTTGCACAATATTCTTGCATAAAAAAACCTGTGAACTAAAATAATATCTTAAGCCCCTAGGTGAGTGAATGCACTCCCTCTTGGCCCCAGGGACCCCAGAAATACCCTAAACCTCAGTTGCTGGCCATGAAAAGGAAGATCAGACACACTTCCTCATGCCCTTCTCTCTAGTTGGAGATATTTGTAACAATAAGGTACTAAATCATTAACAGGCCTAAGGCTATACAAGACAAAGTTTAACCACACCTGCAGGCCATCAATTTACTTGACAGATCACTAGAGTTTCAGTAAATGTCCAGTGCCTTATCTCTAACAGACATCCTTATTTTAAGTTAAAATAGTCCAAGCCTCACAGCTTCATTTCTTTAACCAATCACAAAACTTTAGACCCACCTTTAAACCCACGTATACCTGTAACTTCTCCCCTCCCCCCGCCAGGTCCCCCCACCTTTTTGGGCCAAACCAATGCACACCCTCTACTGACCTACGGTCTTATGTGTAATTCCTATTTCCAAGAAAGTATACACCAAACTTTGTGACCCAGCTACTACAGGCACATTTTCTCGGGACCTCTTTGAGGCCGTGTGCTCCAGGCCAGTCACACACAGTTGGCTCAGAATAAACCTCTTTAAATTATTTTACAGAGTTTGGGTTGTTTTTTTCCCCCATTAACAAAACTTGATAAGGACAGAAAACAGACCAGTGGTTGCCGGGGGCTTGAATTTAGAAGAGAGGGCTGCTTACCATTTTCTAGCTGGTTATTAACGACTCTGAACCCAGTTGGAAAACATCACCACCTTCAGAAGACTGTCAGGAATAAATAAAGTAAAAAATGTCTTTAATGTATCAATAGTATGAAAATCCTTTACTGCTCCCTCCCTCCCCACGCCCCATTATTCCATAATACAGAAAAAATGCCTGAAGAATTTCCACAGTTACTTGGAGGATTTGAAAACTGGTCAGAAGAACGAGAGTGGCGTCTCCTTTCACAGGACCCAGTTTGGTTTGGGAAAGTTTCGCCTTCATTTTACCCACTGCTTTGCAATTTTGAAATGGGATTTCACTCTTTGGGGAAAGTGACAGTGGTCTCCCTCGCTGTCTTGTCGTGGGCGGACCTCGCGGCCCCGGGGTCTCCCCTGCGGCGCCCTGGGGCTGGGCCCAGCGACCCCCGAGCGCCGCGCGTGTGCCGGAGCCCGTCGCCGAGACACGGGACGCGGGACGCGGGCCGAGCGCGGCCGCCCGGGGGCCCGGGGGAGGCAGGCGCGGGGGAGGCCCGGGGAGGCCGGGCGGCGGCTGGCGGCGGGCGGGCCTGACGCGCCGCGGCGCTCTCACTCCGGCTCCCGAGAAAGGGCAGCGGGCCCCGCCGCCGCTGCTGCCGCCGGATGGCGAGGCTGCGGGACTGCCTGCCCCGCCTGATGGTCACGCTCCGGTCCCTGCTCTTCTGGTCCCTGGTCTACTGCTACTGCTGGCTCTGTGCTTCCATCCACCTGCTCAAACTTTTGTGGAGCATCGGCAAGGGACCGGCGCAGACCTTCCGGCGGCTCGCCCGGGAGCACCCTCCCGCGTGTCTGAGTGACCCCTCTTTGGGGACCCACTGCTACGTGCGGATCAAGGTGAAGGACGGCGCCGGCCTGGCGGTAACGGGGGGAACTGACTGCCGAGAGCCGAGGGCGCCAGGCTGCTCTTGCATGACGCCCGGCTCAGCGTCCCCTAGTGTTCCCCTGCGGCGCGCGGGGACTGGGAGGGTACCAAGGGGAGGCAGGAAGGGCGAGGTGTGGAGGGAGAGGGGTCGGGTCTCAGTGCATGTCCTCTTGTTCAGTGTGGTGTGTGTGTGTGTGTGTGTGTGTGTGTGTGTGTGTGTGTGTGTGGTGTGGAGGGAGAGGGGTCGGGTCTCAGTGCGTGTCCTCTTGTTCAGTGTGTGGTGTGTGTGTGTGTGTGTGTGTGTGTTTTGGTTTCTGTGGAGTTTCTCTAATCAGGGTCCTCTTATATTACTGTCCCCCACTACTGCAAGGGGAAGCTGTTTCCTGTCACCTTTTTGCCCTTTAGCGCTTACATCAGCTGTGGGGAATTGTTTCTGGTGGCACCCTACTGTCTCAGGAGGCTGTCCTTACCCAAATTTTAGAGATGAACAGAATAAGTCATTGCAAAGCAGGAGTTTATGCTGATGATCATAGAAGACTTAGGTAGCCTGAAACAGTAAGCAAATGGTATGTGTTTGTGGGTACAGAAGCAGACTTATGAAGTCAGGGACCAAAGGAATGGAATAAAAGGTAAATATCAGCCATGCATGCAGCTCTTTAATTGTTTATGCTTGTCCCAAGCTTCCTCACAGCCCACAGATATTCTATTTCCTGAGGTTCCAGGTGGTGAAGGGAAATGGTTCCTGTGATACGCCCTACAGTCTGACTCATAGGCCTTTCAAAAACAGCCTCATATGAGGGGATATTTATGTCACCAAGTCCTAATTTCCTATTACAAGCTAAATTGCCCAGCACCTGGCATTCCGAAGGGCAAGAAGACTTCTTTCTTGCCTGGGGTTGATATGAGAATTAAATGAGTTAATTATTTGTCAGAAAAAAAATCCAAAAACCAAAAAAGTAGAACATAGAACAGTGCCTGGTGCACAGTAAGTGCAGTAAAGTATCTGTTAATTCAACTCAATCAAGTGCCCATAGCATTTCATCCTCCAAGACTCAACACCAATAAAAGAAGTTTTTGTTATTATTGTTATTTTAGAGATGGTGTCCTGCTCTGTCTCCCAAGCTGGAGTGCAGCGATGTGATCATAGCTCATTGTAACTTCGAATTCCTAGGCTCAAGTGATCCTCCTGCCTCAGCCTCCTGAGTAGCTAGGACTACAGGCATGCATCACCACATCAGGCTAATTTTTTTTTTTTTTTAGAGAGAGAAGGTCTTGCTATGTTGCCCAGGATGGTCTCAAACTCTTGGCCTCAAGTGATACTCCTGGCTCAGCCTGCCAAAAGAGAAATTATTAAACTTCTAGGAAAACATTCTGCAGTTGAGGGCAAAGTCAGATTTGTTATCTCTGTCCAACCTGAGCAGTAAATGTTGTATAAGAATCATCTGGAACTCCTCACAGTGCTTTTCCTCTGATGCTGGCCACCTAAAGAGCTTTCCCAGAGATGCAGAACCAAGAAGTAGAAAGAACGTTGTCCTGGGAGTTAGGACAAGATGGGGATTCTAGCCATATCCCTGCGCCCAACCACTTTACCACCTGTGTTAACATCTTTGCACTTCGTTTTCTAAATCTATAAAATGATTCTTTCACATCTGAAAACCCTATTGTTTTGTGTTAGGCAACCCAGTGTCTGTGCTTAGCTTGTGGTTCTTGGTTTCTTTCCTAGCTTTCTTTCTTTGATAGCTTTTGTTGTTTGTTTGTTTGTTTGTTTGTTTGTTTTATTTAAGCTTTATAGGACTTGTATTGTTTTTCTTTCTTCATGTTTCCTCTACTTTCCTTTCTTCAGTTTGCTTAGCATTGCTGAATTCCCCTGTTATTCATTCCCATGCTTTTATTTTCCTAGAGTTTTCTTGTCTCCTATATACAGAGTGAAGTCTTGAGCAGTCAGGACATTCTGTGTTAGAAATGCACACTGACGTGACATGGGGGAGCAGGCGGCAAGGGGAACAGTACATGCAACACTCAAAATAATAACGTGGGAAGGAAAGACCTAAAAATAAGGGAAGGAGGTGTGAATTATATAACTGATTGCACAGCTCTTGACGGGCAAGCTGAGAAAAGTACATGACTAGGAGGTAAACATGGCAGGAATATAAATTCAGATTGGAATTATTTACATGCCCTGCAGAATTTGAATGAGATGAAAGGTGACACATAAGTAAGATGAAAGTTACAAATTGTGACATTGGTTCAAAAGCTTATAATATATAAATTGACCTTGTACTAGAACAAGAAGAAAAGGTACTGTGAAACCAATGTTAACAAAAGTGAATCTGTCAAGTTACTCTTACTGATAAATCATAGGTTTTTTTTTTTCTTTTTGAAAATTAAGTAAATTTATTTTACTTCTTGATGTTAAAAATAATACTACTGAGTTTTTGAGTGTTTTCTTTTTTTGAGACAGGCTCTCATTCTGTTGCCCAGGCCAGAGTATGGTGGCATCATCATAGCTCAGTGTAACCTCAAACTTGAGGCCCAAATGATCTCCTGACTCAGTCTCCTGAGTAGCTGGGATTATAGGCATGCACCACCAGTCCTGACTAATTTTCTATTTTTTTGTAGAGACAAGATCTCTCTATATTGCTCAGGTTGGTCTTGAACTCCTGGCATCAAGCTATCCTCCTGCCTCAGCTTCCCAAAGTGCTAGGATTATGGGTGTGAGCCACCACACCCAGCCGAGTATTTTTTAATGAAATGAAAATATTAAATGTACTTCTTTGATAGTCAACTCAAAACATCACTAAAATTTTATACCGTTTATTTTCAGGATTCAGGGTTAAGATTTCACTATGTTGCTGCTGGAGAAAGAGGCAAACCACTTATGCTGCTGCTTCACGGATTTCCAGAATTCTGGTAAACTTACCAACTAACTTATTTTTGCATTAAAATTGGTTTATTGTCTTAGTTTGTTTTGTGCTACTATGACAGAATACCACATTCTGATTAATTTATAATGAACAGAAATTTATTTTCTCACAGTACTGGAGGCCTGGAAGTCTAAGATCAAGGTGCCAGCATCTGGTGAGGGCCTTCTTGCTGCATCATCATATGGCAGAAGGAGGAAGGGCAAAGAGGCAAAAGGGGGCCACACTTGCCCTTTCATACTAGCATTAATTCCACCAGTGAGGGCAGAGCCCTCATGGCCTAATCACCTCTTAAAGGTTCTACCTCTTAATATTGTTAAAATAGCAATTAAATTTCAATGTGAGTTTTGGACAGGACATTCAAACCACAGCAATTATCATAATATCATTTTCTTGTAATGACTTTTGACAGACTCTACTCTATGATCATTTGCCTGGGGTTATTATTCCTGAATGTTGCTGAATCATAGCAATGATTATCCTCCTAGTCTAAAGAAACCTAAGTGCTACCATCCTAAATGTACATTATTTTGAGGATTAAAAGAAGCATCTTTTAATATTTCAAATCTATGAAATAATTTCAAAACAATTTTATAGAGTAATCTACTATAGACAAATTACAGCAGTAGGTAGGGAAAGGAGATTTTAAATAAATCAAAGGCTTGGAGTGCTTGTTATCCAGGAAGCTTCTGGTGAGGTGTGGGGTGAGGAGAAGGCAAAGTAAAGAAGACTCATGGAACCTGAAAATGAACTATTTCCTATGCACATAACAATAGGTTTATATGAATGCAGGATAAATTAAGGAACCAAGTATTTCATAATAGGAAGAAAAGCTAAAGCCAAAAATACAGTTTTTAATTATGTCTTAGTTCACTTGTGTTGCCATAACAAAATACCTAGGCTGGGCACAGTGGCTCACACCTATAATTCCAGCACTTTGGGAGGGTGAGGCAGGAGGATTGCTTGAGGCCAAGAGTTTGAGACCAGCCTGGGCAACATAGCAAAAACCTGTCTCTAGTAAAAAATAAAAAATAAAATACCTGAGACTGAATAATTTATAAAGAATAGAAATTTATTTCTCACAGTTCTGGAGGCTGGGAAGTCCAAGGTCAAGACACCAGCAGGTTTGGTGTCTGCTGAGAACCAGGTCTCTGCTTCCAAGATGGCACCTTGTTGGTGTGTCCTTAGGGCTGCAGTCCCCAACCCCTGGGGTGCAGCCTGGTACCAGTCAGTGGCCTGTTAGGAAACTGGCTGCAAATCATCCCCCAAGCTCTGCACTACCCTCTGCCCACCCATGACACCCCACCCCACCCCCATCCTGGTCCATGATAAAACTGTCTTCCATGAAACTGGTCCCCGGCACCAAAAAAGGTTGGGGACTGCTGCTCTAGAGGGCACAAACGCTGTGTCCTCACATAGTGGAAGGACAGAAGGACAAAAGGGGGCCTAGCTAGTTCCTTCCAGTCCTTTAATAAGGTTGTTAATTCCATTCATGGAGGGCTCTGCTGTCATGGCATAATAACCCTCTAAAGAACCCATCTTTTAACACTGTCACATTGGTGATTAAATTTCAACATATGAATTTTGGGTGACACATTCAGACCATAGCA